CATCCATCCATTCATCCATCTAACCATCCATCCATCCATCCATCCATCCATCTATCCATCTATCCATCCATTTTTCCATCTTTCTCTTTATTTTCTGTGGTAGGAAGATGGACCCATTGATTAAGGTTCACCAAATATTAATTTCTGGGTAGTGGAATTGTGAATGATTTTCTTTTTTTTAATGTTTATTTTTATTTTTGAGAGAGAGCGTGCAAGTAGGGGAGGGGCAGAGAGAGAAGGGGACAGGGGATCCTAAGCCGGCTCTGCACTGACAGCAGAGAGCCTGATGTGGGGCTCAAACTCACAAACCACGATATCATGACCTGAGCCGAAGTCAGACGCTTAACCGACTGAGTCACCCAGCTGCCCTGTGAGTGATTTTCTTCTTGAATCTTTGCACTTTCCATATCGTTTGAATTTGTACACCCCATATCCCTCATAGGTGTTTGTATAAAGACGATGTATTTGTAAAAACAAACAAGCATACAGACCAAAATAAAAAAACACAAGTCAACATTTCAGAATGCTTATCCTGGTGACAGTCAGCTGCCACCTAAGAACTCTGACTACTCTGAGACCGCCATGCTGCAAAGAAGTCCAAGCTAGCTAAGTGGACAGCTGCACAGAGAGAAAGGAGACATCCCACTGGCTCCCGCAGCCCAGTCATGGAGCTCAGGCAGCAGATACATGAGTGAAAGAGTCATTTTGGATAGCTCAGCCCCAGCATATGCAACTTGGAGAAGAACAAAGAGACTCATTTGACAGCCAGACCTGGGGCCCCAGACACCTACACTCATCCATCATTCAAGGACCCCAAATTAGGACTCAGTCATCTGTGAGCAAACATAAGCTGTTCTGGCTGTGTCCTGTGTTGGTCAACATACACAAAAAATCGTTGTACACACACACACACACACACACACACTCACATGGTTTGCGCATGACCATGGGTGAGTCCCTTTACTTTTCTGGTCTCACTTTTTCAAAGTGTGGAACAGGGGCCAGATGGCAGTAAGTGATCACACTGGTGGTTTCCCCAGATGTCTCACCTGCCTTATCTGGAAGGCAGTGTCACGGGAGGTATAAGTCGGGCTTGGGAGTCAGGGTCATAAGTTTAAGCCTTGGCTGTGGCATTTATGAGCATGTGACCTTGATTCCCCCACACAATGCTTGGCTTTTTTTTTTTTTTCCTCCAGTTTTACTTTTCTATCTTGATGAAAAATATGTGATGTTAGATGTCATTGCAAACAGAGCTGTGGCTAACGCTGCACAATTTATATTGCTGGTACTCTTGATGGTTCAAACATGTTTCAGCAATATTTGGTGTGTGTTTATTTATTTATTTATTTATTTATTTATTTAGAGAGCAGGGGAGGGGCAGACAAAGAATCTCAAGCAGGTTCTACACCGTCAATGCAGAGCCCAAACTCACAAACTGTGAGATCGTGACCTGAGCCGAAATCCAGAGTCAGATGCCTAGCCAACTGAGCCACCCAGGGCCCCTTGTTTTGGCAATATTAAAAAAAAACTTTCCAGGGGCGCCTGGGTGGCTCAGTCGGTTAAGTGTCTGGCTTCAGCTCAGGTCATGATCTCATGGTTTGTGGGTTCGAGCCCCACGTCGGGGTCTGTGCTGATGGCTCGGAGCCTGGAACCTGCTTCGGATTCTGTTTCCCTCTCTCTCTATCCCTCCCCCGCTTGTGCTCTGTCTCCCTCTGTCTCAAAAATGAATAAATGTTAAAAAAAATAAAAAAAATTTTTTTTCCTTCTGCAAAGTTGTCGGTGGGGAGCAAATGCTACCCTCCACGCCTTGACCCTGGATTCCCAAGCTGCCCCTTGAGAAGCATACACACAGGGTGGGCTGGTAAGGTTGGGGGCATCTTACGCCCTGACCATCAGCCCTGATCAGAATGGAATGAGGATCTTGGCAAGGGCAATCCCCCTGCAGCCTGTGAGTAAGCATGTATACACACACACACACACACACACATGCACAAAACGGCTCTTCATACACCCGGCCTGATTAGAGTCAAAAGGGCGAGTAAGGGCCAGATTAAATATGTGTTGATTGTGTGAGCTTGCGCTCCTGTTTCTCATAAATAAGACATGAGCCCTGTTTTCCACCCCCAACACACACGTACACACACACACACACACTTCCTGGGGATGATATTTATTGTATGCAAATCAGAAACTGAACTGGGAGAAGTAATCACCTGTTTATCAGATGGTGTGCAGATTGGGTGGAAAATAATAAGCTGGGGTAATGGTGCTGTATCTGTTTGGACAGAGCTGACCTAGACCTGGGTCTGGATTTATCACACCCTGGACAAGTCAAGGGCTGGCCCTGGGGCCCGCCGATCCCCTGCCTGGTCAGGTTCGCCCAGTGGCGTTTACCAGGTAATTGTGCATTCAGAAAATAGCAGGGTGAGGGCTAGCGGTTACCTGCTGCCTGCTGAGCTTGGACAGCTGTTTGCAGGAAAGACCTTGGACGTCAGGCTGACCTGGTGCAAACGCAGGATCTGCTGCCACTCGCTGTGTGACCTTGAGCACGCTGCTGCCCTTCTCTGGGTCTCCATTTCTTCCCCTGTTAAACGAAGGCGATCATGGCTCCAGTCTTGTAGGGTGTCGGGAACACGAGCAGGGGCATGTCTACAGAGAGGCGCTTGGAGTCACCCTAGACCTTTCTCTCTTCCTCGCACCCCGTTTCTGCTTCCTAAGTGTTTCCTGAATGTGAGCATTGTCTGGCACCCTGGAAGTGCCTGGTAAATGCTGTCCTTGTTTTGCCCTGGTCCGGGTCTCACCATCTGTCACAGATTGACATCTAGCGAGCTTCCCTGCGTTTTCTCTGTCGCCTCCGATTCGTTCCTCACCCTCTGAAGCAGAGAGGGCTCTCTCTTCTTCTTTCTAAAAAATCTCTCTTTTATGCTCATTTATTTATTTTTGAGAGAGACAAGGAGAGAGGGCAGAGAGAGGAAGAGAGAGAAAGAGAATCCCAAGCAGGCTCGTGCTGTCAGCGCAGAGCCTGATGCAGGACTCAATCTTAAGACCGTGAGATCATGATCTGAGCCGAAATCAAGAGTCAGATGCTTCACCGACTGAGCCACCCAGGAGCCCCCGAGAGGGCTCTTTCTAACGTGAAAATCCCACCATCGCGTGGCTCTCCTGCTCAAAAGCCTGCCATGGCTCCTCAATGCCCTCCAGACAAAGAAATCCACATTCCTCCCCGTGCCCCACGAGGCCCCCCAGTGCAGACCTCAGCAGCCTGGCCGTTGCCTCCTTCCCCACGCTTCAGCCTCTCAGATCTTCATTCAGATCCCTAAACATGCCAAGCTGGTTGCTGCCCCAGGGCCTTTGTCCTTGCCGTGCCCTTTGCCTGGAACCTTCTGCCCCTGGCTCCTTTTCCACGCTGCTACTGAAATGTCACGTCCCCAGGGAAATTGCTCCATCTAAATTAGGTCCCCTCTGCCAGCTATTTGCCCTCTCTCGGAACCTTGTCAGTTTCCTTCATGACACTGATCACAATTTGTCCTATTGTTATTTATTTGGGTTTACTGGATTGCGGCTGCATCTCGGGCGGACCGGGAGCTTCGGCGCGCGGGGCCCGCGTCTGTTTTGCTCGCCACTGTGGTCCCGGTGTTCGGGTGCCTCACCGGAGTAGCCGCCTCACGGATGCCCTTTGGAGGGCCGTGGATGTGACGAGACAGGCACAGGGGTGCTCTGGGCCGGCGGCCCTGTGCCCCAGAGGGGAGGGGCCCTGACACCTGGCGCCCCGCCCACTCCATGGCCCCCTAAGGGATGTTTGCCTGCCTCTCCCTAATGGCCTGACATACAGGGTCCCAGTGATAAACCTCCCTCTGATAAAAGATGCAAAACTAACATCTGGCGGTTAATTAATAAAGAGCAGCGGTGTCTGGCTGGGGCACGTGGTTGCTGATGTTGGCATTTTCTTCGCCCGCCCCAAGAGATGCTGACGCCGTGTTCGAAAACGGGGGGAAAAAAGATCGATTTGGAACAGGCCCTGCTGACGAGGCTCCCAAGGGGCAGGACACGCTCTCGCCCCCTTTCTCGGGGGCTGACGCCCCGTCCTCCACCAAAGGGTTATGGGTGGTGACTCATAACCCTCATTTATTGAAGACCTATTATGTGCCAGGCTCCGCATCTCATTCATTCTCCCCAGGAGCCTCAAGAGGTGAAGGTCTCTGTTCCCAGTTACATACAAGGAAGCCAATTTACATACAAGCAAAAGCACGGCTCAGCTGCCCGCCCCAGAACCTAGGCTCCCCCTACCTCACTAGGACTCGGGGGTGCCCGATGGACAGTCACTGGGGTGTTTGTCACAAATGCAGGCTCCAGGGCCCCAGCACCCCAGAGTGGGGCCCAGGAGTCTGTATTTGTAACAAGAGCCCCATATGATTCTGAAGTGGGTAGATCAGATATCTCTCCTTGGAAAACACTGGTCTCTGGAATACTGTCAAACGCTTACTGAGCACCTGCTATGTTCCAGGCCCCCAGCTACTCCTAGTAACAACACTTAGGCAGGATGGACGTCTCCAGTTTACAGACATGGCCCAGAGAGAGCAAGGGACTTGGTCAACGCCACACAGAGAGGCAGGCGGACTCTAACCCAGATCCTCTGACTGCCCCAGGCCTCGGGGCTTCCCGGCTGTCCTCCGCCCGGCCCCCATGGGAAGGGAGAGGACCCTGCTCGCAGCTACAGGAGTCACATGCCAAGACCGGGCCACTGAAATATTAATAAGGCTCGTGTTTCAATTACTATTCGGGACACCCCGGCAGGCCTGGTCCCCAACCTCAGCTGGCTGGACGTGCGAGTACCAGCGGGCCCTTAAACAGGCGTGTGGGGAGCCTATCTAGGAGGCCGTGGCTGGTTCGTCAGGCTTCTTGGACTGGGCAAGTCGCTGTCTGAAGTCCTATGGGGTGGGGTGGGGTGGAGGGCAGCCAGCAAGGGGGGCTGGAACATGGCTCTGAGGCTCCGGAGAGGGGAAGACAGAAGGCGAGAGATCGAAATTAGAGCGGCCTATGTCTGAATCCCGGCTCCCTCTGCAGCTCTCTGTGGGGCTAGGCAGGCTCTCACCTGGAAACCAGGCACCTCAGGGGCCTCCCACGGCCATGGTGAAGGAGACAGCAAGGCACCAGCCGTGCCCCCAGGCTTGGGTGCTGCCCAGAGTTACTCTGAGAGGCTTGGGTTTCAGGCAGACGGGTTCAAACCCCAGCTGCACAGCGTTTGGGCTGCATGAACTAGGCGCCTCACTTGGCCGGGACTCAGTCTCCCCATTGTCCCTGCTCCCAGGGTTCTTATGACTGATTAAATGCTAAAAAATGCTTAGCACAGGGCCTGTCCTTAGCACAGACACTATCGTGCTGACGGCTGTGTCGCGGTCTTAGTGTCACCGTTCCGACTGTGACATCGGGAGCTTGTGAGCACAGGTTGCTTACCTGTTTCAGGGTTTCCTGTCCCCGCTGAGCCCAGGCGGGGCTTTCTGTGGCCCTCCCTGCTCCAGGATTCTCACTTGCTTGTGTCTGAGGGGCAGCGTGGTCACCCACCCTGGGAGGGGGCGCCAGCCAGTCGGGAATCACTCAGCGTAATTGAATTGTTACCGACGTGCCCTTGTGACTCTGGCCCACAGACATGATAATGCTCCCAGGCGCTGAACTGGCTCCCACCTTGGAGACCTCCTGGCACCCTGGACGGTGGCCCGAACAGGCTGGGAGTGGAGGGCCCATGGGGATTATAGGACATGTGGATACTTGGGCGTCCCTGGCTCTGCCACCGACTTACTGGGTCCCCTTGCCCCTCTCTGGGTCCCTCAAGTCAGCTCCTGGGTCTGCCTGGGGGCCGGAGGTGGGAGAGAAGAAAGGAGCCCGACTTGGGGCTCGCTTGAGGCTTCTCCCCCGTCTTCCCTAGCGCTGGTCCAATTCCCTCCCCCACTCATTCCCAGTCCTGCCTTCCAGGTTCACTGCCTGCCAAGTAAACGTTGGCATTAGCCCCATTTCTCAGCCAGGCAAACCGAGGCTGAGAGAGGGCAGGCACCATGTTCAAGGCCCACAGCCAGGAAGTTATCAGATCTTGCACCTGAACCCGGGTCTGTCTGACTTTCAGGAGCCCACGTGCCCACGCTCGCTCCCCTATCCTACCCTCCTTTCCGCCCCATCTTCCCCTTAGCCTGGACCACAGGGTGGGGAGACCTTCCTAGCCACGTCCCTCCTCCCCCGCCCCCTCCCAGGCCCGCCCTGGGCAATCAGTTTCTTCAGATATGATTTGGGATTCTAATGAACGGAATGATTTGGCATTTAAATAATTATCCACTCTCTAACTGTTAGTGCTGCTGAGTCGGGAGAAATTTCCGCATCTTATTTATGAATATGGTTTTTCCCCCTCACCGGGTGGAGATTTCGCAGCCACCCCCTCCCAGCGCCTCCTCTCTTAAATGCCTTTCCAGCGCGTCTCCAGTGGAGCATCCCCCCCACGCGAGCCCCTAAGTGCCTATTAACAACGTTTCGCTTCCGCTATCGGCACCCGTTCACGCCCCTTTTTTATCTTTACATTTCAATATCATTACAAATCCTAGTGTTATTCAAATTGCATCAATTATTCAATTTCTCCACCCGGAGTGGAGGCAGCGGCTTCCCAGTGGCTGAGCAGGAAAAAGCAGGGGCCTTTCCAGGAGGGTTTGAAATTCACGGGGGATTCAGCCGGCTTCCATTAACCTGGGCTTTTTGGCTCCCACAAATCGTGGAATTGATTAACACACACACACACACACACACACGCAGTTGCAATTTGGTTGGGGGAGAAAGCCTGCTGCCGAGACGCACCTGGGGAACGGTTTGGGAGCTAAAATGCCGTTGCTGCCCTGTGATATTCATCCGCTGGGTATTTATTGAGCTCCTGCTGGAAGAAGAGCAGCCACCATTTAGTGAGCACTTACTGTATACCAGACACCACTGGGTTTTTGTTTCTGTTTTTATTTTAGAGAGAGAGCAGAGAGAGAGAGAGAGAGAGAGAGAGAGAATCCCAAGCAGGCTCCGTGCTCAGCAAGGAGCCTGGTGTGAGGCTCATCCCAGGACCTGAACAGAAATCAAGAGTGGGTTGCTCAACTGACTGAGCCACCCAGGCACCCCAGCACTAGGTCTGTAGGGAAGATTCCTCCTCTAATCTTCAGGACTAGCTGGTGAGGTAGTTATTAACCCCCCCTCCCCCCATTGTATAGATGAGAAAACTGAGGCTCAGGGAGGGAAGCTCTCTGGCCCAGGGTTGCACAGTGGTAGAGACTGGTTTTGTCTTCAGGACCTGGCCTCTTAATCATTACGCTATGAGCTGTGGTTGTAGGGTTTGGGTGATCCCAGGGAGTAGCCGGGCAAGGGCCTGCGGGAGTGGAGAGGAAAGAGAAAGAACACTTCTTCCCACAGGGCCCTTTTTTGAAGGCTCACGTGAGAAATGGTGCACATCTTGTTACTCCCCAAAGCCGAATTTGTTTCCCCAACAAACAGTAGTTTCTCATGGACACTGAGTCCTATCGTGGTCACGTTTCTCTCTTTGCTTTGGCTGCCAGGAAACTCTGAGCCCACTGGTCACAACCATACAGGAACTTATCCCGTCATGTCCCCATCCTGGTCCGCTCATCTAGGCCCTTCCTGTTTGGGCATTGCGGTGTATATTTGTAAACCA